GGCTATAGTGCCCCTAGCGCTTCCTCTGGCTATAGCGCCCCTAACGTGTCTTCTGGCTTAGCGCCCTAGCGTGTTAATGAGCTACGGTGCTGGAAGAGTGCCAGCTGGAAGTTATTCTGGAGAGTCTAGAGCGCCAGCTTCGTCGTATGGCGCTCCCTCATCTGCAGGCTATTGCGACTAGTGTTTGTGATTACTAAAGCGTGCAGTAAGTACTGTGACTGTGCTATGCGTTTGCACCACGCATCTTCAACGTCATCTCGATTATTTGTGCTCGATCATTACACGAGCTACCGTTGTACTCGTCCACCTGGCACATATTTTGGTGCAGAGGTGGAAAATGCATAAACGTATTGGAACGATGCATCGTTATTTTTAGACGCGGCACACAGGAAGGGCGGGAAAAAAACACAGAAAGCTTGGCAATATGTGAAAGTTTAGCTTACTTTAAAAGCCTTCCGGAAAATGAGAACTGACGAATGTAAGTAATGTGTGCCCAAAAGCACAAACATGAATACGCAGTTTGTGGGGGAAGGAAAAATGGCAGTACATCCCCTTCCCCATTTGTTTTTCGCTGGATTTCGGTCACTTTGTTTTAAGGTTTGGTGACATGAGCGAATGCCTATAATTAAACTTAACACGTGCTCGGGCGTTAGGGTGAAATATCTGCCATGCTACTGGATCAATTCTATGTGATAAGTGAGATGTTCGTAGCAAATGTACAACATTGTTCTGCATATGCATTTTATCCTCACGGTTTACCGTTGGTTTCTGATGATAGGTAACATCAAGTAAATTATGTATCCCTCAGTGCTTTCACTGGATTCTTCAATCTCCAATTCCGCTCGCTTTCGCGACCACGATACCTAACAGGGAAAATAATGGTACCGGAATCGCCGGAGGACTTTAAGTGCCCACAGTTGTTTCCTTTTGAACTCAGTCACGGGTGGGAAGTCATGAAATGCTTGACCCATTGTCTACCGCACTCTTGCTCCTGCTCTAACTCATGCAATAATCCGGCGCTAGTACTGCAGGGTCCCAGCGCTATTTTCGCTTTTGACAATGGGGTTCACTCACAGTGCATTGCCGGCGCTGTCGAGCTTCAAGCCACGACGGTCAGACAGCTCGAGCTATTGGTCCACTCACTGATTAATTCATGACTTGGCAGCAAATTAGGAGCAAAATCGTTTAAATCTAGATATTGTATTTCCTACCCCGCACTAAATCATGTCGTATCAAGATATCATCGTACACACCTGATAGAGGAGGCGATTGCTTAACCATAATACTGTGAAACATAATGCCACCGCTGGATATGGGGAAATGGTAGGGACCCTCATCATTAACTGCATCATATATTTCTCTGATACCATGATGCCACCTAAATGATTAACTGAGTGTATAGAAAAATCGGACCATGTCACAGTGCGTCTATATCCCCTTTTAGACCACCCTAGGGTCATAGGAACATGAAGACTTCGGCTTTCATTTCATTTCGTTCAAGCATGTGAGATCGAGTAACTAAGATACTGGAACAATGACAAATTTGTCAGTAGGGATGTGATTTAAGTCAAGTAACCTAGTCGTTGATGTGCGCGAAGCCAACAGAATTTACGAAAAACTCTGCATAAATAAGTTATTCCACCGAGGTGATCTGGAAAACAAGCTTTTTGTGTTGAGCAACCATTCTGCTTTGATCCCAATGTCCAACAGACGAAAATCTGAGCAAATAATCTGCGTGCATATCTAGTTGGTAGCAGGTCATTTGGATTATCATTTTTAAATGCACCAAACAATCGTGGCTGATAAATATGGATTGTCTCAGCACAAGTACGGCACGTAACGTTCAAAATAGCCGCTTGCTCTTTTCATTTAAGAAACGGCTGACTTTTACGAAGCATCTTTAATGTCCTGTATCATTGACCAACTGAATTACAGAGCGATAGTACGCCTCACGTTCAATTAGGGACTGTTTTACTGCACGCTAAAATGTTCGCGCCAACGTCTCCAATACACGTGCTCCGCCTGGCCCCAGGTCCGGATCGCCAACGTCTCCAATACACGTGCTCCGCCTGGCCCCAGGTCTGGATCGCCGACGTCTCCAATACACCTGCTCCGACTGGCACCAGGTCTGGATCGCCGACATCTCAAATATACCTGCCCCGACTGGCACCAAGTCCGGATCGCGACTCTGCCTTACCGCACGGGGCAGGGCTATAGCTGGGCAAAAATAACGGCTCTATAGCTGCAGCGAAGTGACAACATTTACAGAGGAGTTGGTAATACGTGCTGAATGATGTGATGATCCGCACCGTGGGAGTCTGGTCTGCTGCCACAGCGTGCTGTGCCGGCCACGGGCAGTGCTGCACCACTCCCGCGCAGCAAGATCTGCGGAGGCGCCCTCTGGTGCGGACGAAAGCGTCATGGTGATAGTTGCACCTGTAGGGGGAGGGGACGTGGTGTCGACGTGGAGGGCTCACGCTGCCCAGAATCACGCTGCCCAAAATGTCGCGCTTAGTTCTTCTCGCAGGCAGCAACATCACGCAAGCATCAGGAGCCGGAAGGTCCGATTCTCGATCGTGGAGCTCTTTCATCTGGCCTTGGGCGGACTGCATTGAACAAAATGTGCTTTAAGTCTCCATCTCATGAGCAAAGCCTTCAGCTTGCTTGCAAAAATGGGATACACTTTTGATTAACTCTATCCTCAAGCTATCTTTGCACTATGGTCGTACCGTGGACTGCTGAGAAAAGGGACGTCACGCGTTTCTGTCCCCCCTCAGCTATTGCGTGCGAATGTGCGAATGCGAATTTATTTTAATTTGTTCAATATTTTTTTCTTGATTTATTTTAAATTTTATAACTTACTCCTTCATGCCACTACGCAAAATTGTACAGGGTTATACGTACGCCCTTAAATGATCTTCATCTCGTACTAAAGAGCCTCCATGCGACAAATAGTGCAATCGCTGATACCAGATGTACCGTATTGGATGATGGTTTAAGTCATAGCAGTTGTTGCACAGGTGTTGCGTTCGGAGTGCATTTTTCGGCCAACTTGATATCTAACCTTTGAAAGCAAGATCATGCTAATGCCGTATGGTCTGACATCGATATTTACCAAGCCTTGCGCAAGATGTTTCGGTTAAATAGCACGCGATTCGGGAAACAGCTCGCTTCAGTGGTAACCTCACTTGCACAAGGTAAATGAAGTCGCAAAAGCTAATACATATTTTGTGACTGTAAACAAAACGCAATAACTGTAATGATGAAATGTGCACCAAAAACATGTGCACACAGATAATCCAGTCCCATCTTATCGTGTCTTACGTATGTTTTGCAAGTATTTCCTGAGTGTGACGATTTTCCCTGACCATTAAAATTGCGATTATGTGGTATTTGTTGCTCTTAAGCATGATCTCAACTGTTCAGTGCAGCCGAGCTATGGATCGACAATCCTTTCAAGATCACCAACCAGCTTCCAAGTCATCTCAGTGTGCTAATCAGAAGATAAGAGGAAGTTCTCATCGCAGTCGCAGGACAGCGCTACATCAAAAAGCCATCAGTATTCCGCAAAGAAATTGGACTAACAGCCAAATTGCAGGCATGCTCAAAATGCATGGCTATGCAGTATTGGAAAACGGTGACGAATGGCCGCTAGGAAGCATTCAGGATAAGGTCTATTTCCCATCCGATGTGCTTCCTGAGCTAAACGCTTTCGGCGCACGCAGAAACGTGCTAAAAAACAGCCGCTGGTTGGACAAGAAGGGAAACGCAATAGTGTGGTATTATTACGACACAGAGACGAAGGCGAACAAAACGATATTTGAAGCTTCAGTGAAAGGCTGGGTTGATACCACATGCATTAGGGTGATAAAGTTAAAACCAAACAAATGCAACTTGAAGACAGACCTGGGCCACGGCGTCTTATGCGTAGGGGATTTGATAATGAATGTCATTCCTTAATGGGTCGGAAGTATGACCCCAAAAATGGTGGATATTCCCAAAAGGTATCCATACATTTCGAGGGGTGTGATATGATGGCGGGTGCCCACGAACTCGCTCATGCTCTTGGGATAGACCATGAAATGGCGAGGTCCGACAGAGATGATTACATACACGTCTTGTTCAGCAATACTGATTTTGATCCCATGCATATAAATGAGCATCATTTAAAGCATCTTTGGTTCCAAGGGAATAAATGCAGCCCCGACCAAGTGCTGGATATCCCTAAGCCCTATGATGCAATGTCTATCATGCAGTATGGCACATCCGACTTGGCGGGCACGGATTCCCGAGCAATTTACATACACAAAAATCCTCATTACCAGTACATGTTCGATTACACACGACCAGGTGGTCTCCTCCAATCACATTATGACTACTACACCATGAACACGGCATACAACTGTCCGAAGAAATGGAAAAATGAGTGCGAGAAAAACGGAAAAGGAGCTCCAAGTTGCAAAAACTTCGGATACCTGACAAAGGCCTGTAAATGCGCCTGCGCTCCAGGCTACTCGGGAAGCACCTGCGGGTCACGAGTTGGTCCCATGTTTCCTCTTCAGGAGAAAGCAAAAGCTATGCTGGACATCACGGAGCCAGGTCTACTCGATCTTGAAGGCAAAGGCATGACAGACGATGTTCACATTGGCTTATACCAAGAACTGTTCCGTGCCTTCCACTTTTTCACCGTAGTCATTCAGAGCTCTCCTGAAACCCGAATCAGCGTGCTAGTAACGCAGCCATTTAAGAAGATAAAGTCCGACTACCAGGACGACCCGCGGCTGGAGCCCTGCTTCATAGCTGACTGTGACTGCCATGTAATTGTTCGTGTAGGTGATAACTCACTAGGTCACTTACGGGCAGAATGTATATCATCATTGGTGAACAATGAGCTGCCCAGGGACCGGCGCGTGCTCAGATCTAAGCACAATCGTTTGCACATTTATGGAAAGTCCTTCGGCTATTCTACGGGAGTAAACGACAGATCGGAGGTATCCAGAATGGCGATGGAGTTTCAGCTCGACATCGCGTTCCTGGAGCGGCCCGAGGACAACCTGACCACAGAGCGCACCTACCCCGGCGACCTTCTTGCAGGCCTTGCGGAAGCCATGAAGGGTGTCCGCAAAGGACTTAAAAGGCATCTTGTCGTGGTAGTGGTGGTGTTGGTGGCGGTAGTTCTACTAGTCATTGTACTCTGTGCTGTTGTCGCTATGCGACGAAAGAAGAAAGACACACCAAAAGCGGCTAAAGACAACACATTTCATAGTGGCTTTAATCCAAGTGACTCTGATTCTTCCAGTGAGACATCTGACAGTAGCTCTGACTGAAAACCTCATCGCTGGCAGCTCGTGGTGCCATTGATTGCCTCATTCAGGATGGGTGTGAGCACTTGATTGTTTTTTAAGTGGAAGTCGCTCAACATGGCTCTCCGTATGAGCATGCAGAATAACAAAGGGAAATGTGAAAGATATGTGTATCAAGCAGGCTATGCGCCGTGAGTTAGCCGTCACATAGCACAGCCAATTGTTTTTCCTTATTGTCCATGTATGCATCGTGTGTTGAATGCCAGATCACCAAATTTTGATCACCAAATCCTGCATGTTCGCCAAACACAAAAAGCTCCCAAGCAGGCTCCGTCTTAATTGTGTACAGTCCTCAGGGCGGGCGGGCGCAGGTGACGATGGGACAGTGGCTGGATGGCTGACCTGCACGTGTCGCCGATGGAAGGGCAGCTAGATGGCCGCCAGCGCCTCAGTGACGATGGGACAGTAGCTGGATGGCTGACCTGCACGTGTCGCCGATGGAAGGGCAGCTAGATGGCCGTCAGCGCCTCCTCCCCCCTCCACCACCCGCACGTGTCGTCCATCGCACCGGGCCGCCGCCCACCGCGGCCCCGCCAGGACTAGAGCGGTACACCTCCTGACCTGCACGTGTCAGACAGGTGTCACGCCAGGGTCACGAACGGCGCGGCAGCGGCTGCAGCTCCAGCTCGCAGGAGGAGAGGCGTAGGACATGAAAGGGTGACGGCCGTCGGCATCAGCCGCTGTGGATCGACCCGAAGTGGTTCGGTTTCGTGTCGTACTGGTCGCGCGGCTGCTGTAGCGTGCCCACCTCTTTTCTGTTCCTGCAGAGCGCCCCCCCCCCCCCGTGCTAGGTTGCTGGCCGCTACCTGGAGCTCCAGCCTAACGGACAGGAGTGACGGTGTATGCATCCGAAAGTTTAGCACGCTCAGGGACACTTAACTGGTTACCCTACATGCATTCTTTTGAGGCACAGGATGTAGGTTCGCCCCTGGGAATATGCGGCTATTGTCTGAAGCTGTCAGAATATTTGAACGGGGCGCCAAACTGCTTGTGTGGGAAAGGTCTTTTTGGAACAAAAATACACCGATGCATCTATCTTTCCGACTGTGAGAGTGAGTGCTGCAAAGCCATGTAGAGGTGTTAGCATGTTCTTGGCGTGAGACTGACAGATGAAATTATGCAACAACGATGATACGGACAAATGAGTTTTGCGCTTGGTGTAGGCCGTGTGGCATTGGAATATGGAACCAGTTTCACAATTTCACATCCGTTTAGATAAACTCAGTTTAAATTCATAACCTGGCGAACACTGCAAAACACTAATCATAAGCGCGATGGCACAGGCATACATGGGTCTTGGTCTTATAGTTGAAGAAAACAGGATGCATGCGTAAGCCATCGGTAAATTGCAACTCGATAAATGGACGTCCATGGGGCTATGTACACGTCAATCAACAATCGCATATCGATCCGTTTATGACGCTGCACATACTTTTGTCGTATTCAAAACTCCAACTGCATGTGGTTTATAATGTTTGAACACCAATCGAGTTCTTGACGCTCATTTTTGAACGTTCATCATGAGTTCTTATTTTGACAATTCCTCACCGTTCCTCGTTCCATCGCCTGCAGAAGTTGATAGTTTCCTGCCTTCCTCGTTTATCGACTACGGAAGTTGATAGCTTCCTACCTTCACCGTCTCATCGCCTGCAGGAGTCGATAGATTCCTACTTCTACCGTCCCGTCGCCTGCAGGAGTCGATAGCTTCCTACCTTCACCGCTCCATCGCCTGCAGGAGTCGATAGCTTCCTACCTTTACCGTCTCACCGCCTGCAGGAGTCGATAGCTTCCTGCCTTCATCGCTCCATCGCCTGCAGGAGTTGATAGCTTCCTGCCTTCACCGCTCCATCGCCTGCAGGAGTCGATAGCTTCCTACCTTTACCGTCTCACCGCCTGCAGGAGTCGATAGCTTCCTGCCTTCATCGCTCCATCGCCTGCAGGAGTTGATAGCTTCCTGCCTTCACCGTCCCATCGCCTGCAGGAGTTGATAGCTTCCTGCCTTCACCGCTCCATCGCCTGCAGGAGTTGGTAGCTTCCTGCCTTCACCGCTCCATCGGCTGCAGGAGCTACCGCTCCATCGGCTGCAGGAGCTGGTAATGGAACGCCGAGTGCTTTGTTTGCGCTGTTGCTGAGGTGCATGGGTCTATGGGGCAATAGCTGCATTTTCACTCGTTTATGGAGCCATGCAAGGTTTAGGGGATTTCCTCATGCTGAGACGATAGGGCTTAGAGGAATGTCTGACTTTTGGTTTATCGGGGAGCCCATAGAGCTCGGCTGTGTGGGACGAGTTAGGTATGATTCTCCTTATAACTTTGTCATCTACCTCACCACTCAATGTGTCTTTCACGTAGCGTTTAGGTGAAATTCTAGTTGAGGTGTACGGCTGTTTAGATCATTTCATAGTCTGAGACAGTTCAGTGGCCCCTCCAACGTATGTCTACCTAGCGAGAACTACGAACCCTTTATATGTTAGGATTGATTTTTTGTAGGTTTCTAAGCCTCTTTTGCTAATTTTGTGTCGGTTTGGATCGCACTTTCGTGGGTTGTACACGCTGTTATGGCAATTGTTTTGAATCGTTTCACTCTGCTCTTCCAAATGCTTGGCAGCAGGTCGCGTCACACATGTAGCACAGCACGTCACACGTCACAGCATGTAGCGTCACACACACAGGTAGCTGCTATCCGAAGGCATAAGCAAGACCCATGACGTGTGTATACCCATGTCAACCGTAGTGGACTTCCCTGCAGGGTTTTCCGATATGGCCGCGTAGCTTTCTGGAATCTATCTACGATTTCCAACGGAGCGCGAGTGTCCTCCTTTCAACACCAAGTTCCGCGTCACGCAGCATTGCCTGGTGACTGCAACGGAGAGGCAAAAAGTTGGACTAATGCATGTTCTTATAAAAAAAAACTGGCTGTATGTCAATGGCAGCATTTTTCTGTCGACTTGGTGCCACCTATTATGATAATTTGTCGGGCAAAAAGTCAAACTAAGAAAAAGAGACACGAAGAAGCAGACAGCGCAGACCATATGTAACACTACATTTAAGACGATGCCTGGCAGGCAATTACGCTATAGTTGTGAAAAACGGCAAATATGACGACAAATATAGCAGCACCCCATCCCTGATGCAGTGGTTGAACAGAGTTTAATAGCACGAAGCCGACCGCTTTCACAAGCGCTCCACCGCGTCACAAACTGCCAATAAGCCGGACCACACCACGAGATCAATCCAATTCATTATGCTGGAACACCTGTACAAAAGAGGCCTCATATCCCACAGACACACACTACCTCTGAGAAGCTCGCTTCAGCAGCATGATTATTGCCAAGGTGAGCTGATCACAACTGGGAGCTCATGTGTGTTGAATGGTTTCACTGACTTTTTTTGGCTACGGACTCCTGGATTTCTTACTGGTGTCTAATCTGGCGTTTGTGTGTTCGATAAATGTTAGTATGAGGAGCTAAGCCCTTTAAAAAACACCACGGCATTAATCTTTTTGTAATAAAGATGGCATGTTGGGACAGAATTGCACCCTTGAGCCGTATCTCGGACGACATGTGTTAAAAACCATGCAGTGCCGATCTAGCGCTACATGAGGGACAAAATTGATATTTTGCTTTTGCATTGTCACATAAATGGTAACATACAATGTTACATACAACAACAAAAAAGTTGCATACACTGCTTTTTGTCAAGCAAGCAGTGGCAAGGGCTGTGAATGGAAGCGTGCTAAGTCGAAGCACGAGCTTGTAATCAGGTGGATACAAAGTCAACATGGTTAAACACTACACATTTGATTTCTAAAACCCCGTGTAAAATCGTGCCGGTTTTTCAGTGTTTGCGACACTTTGGTGGCCGGTCTGCCTGGCTGATGACGGCGGTCACGGGTTCATGACACAAGCATGTGTCATCAGGACCGGAGCGTACTTCTCTGGACACACAGACCCGCGTCTTCCGGACACTGAGTGACATTCTCGGGGCACAGATCTGCTTCGTCCGGACAGAGATTTGTTGCATCCTGACACAGATTCGTGTCTTCCGGACAAGTGTCTTTTTCTGGACACAGATATATGTCGTCCGGACAAAGGGTGGTATAATGTTCAAATTGTGTCTTCAGTCCCCAGTGTGTCATCTAGCTACAGCGCCGCCAGCGCTTTCTCCGGGTACAATACCACAGTGTGTCATCTAGCTACGGCGCGCTCAGCACGTCTTCTGGACATAGCGCGCCCAGTGTGTCCTCTGGGTACAATGCTCCCAGCGTTTCTTCGGGATATGGATCCCATAGTGTGTCATCGGCTATGGTGTCCCCAAGTCGGTCTCTGGTCACAGCGCCCACATTTCTTCCTCTGGTTATAGTGCCCCCAGCGTGTCCTCTGGCTATAGTGCCCCAGCGTTTCCTACAGCTTAGTA